AACTAGGGTAATTAAAAGTGTAGGGGACTTGTAAATGGTAAGTAAATTTCTATAAGGTATTGTAAAGCTGGGGAATCATTATTTTGGCGGTTCAGAGGCTCTTTAAACACCCGTGGCAAGCCTTAGGGGTGGCCCAGGGGAGCTTAGTAGGACTTGAGCGCGCTTTTTGGGCCATTTTAGCCCACCTAGAGATGTAACAAGGGCTGAAACCTTGGGGATAACATTCTAGAAGCTCCAAGGGGTCAAGCACAAATTTATTTGAACCAAGAATATTCCTTGGGAGCCTGTGGGTAAGGGGTAGTCTGTTACGTGGAGCCATTACCTTGGAAATGGGCCACAGAAGGTGCCAGAACTGGTTTCTGGGGCTTGTTGCGCATGTCAAACTGGGAATATAGAATTTAAAGAGTTACTGTAATATATTCATAATTATTCTAGTGTGTTTGTAATTTTATTACACGTGTGGGGACTTTATTGGCATGTGCACGGTGGTTTTCTGGGGCTTTGTGGCCCATTTCCTTGGATACTGGTAACCCAGAGGGGGTTATGCATGTATCCAAGGCAAGTATGCATACCTAGTACGCGCAGGGGCTTGAGCGTTGGGCTCAATTGTAGTTAGGTCGCCTGCCAACTATGCGCAGCATGACTATGTAGCATGCGGGCTTGGAGACAATACAAGCCACCATGCGCTAACTTCTAAACTATAAACCACACTCCAAATCCATGACTGGATTTGTAGTATATGCATAATGCTTGAATAAATTCAGTACCCGTGATAACAAGGTACCTGTTAATTATTCAAGTGTACTTTGAGGTAGAGATGGGTGGGGATAATCCGTTGTGGATATCTGAGCGCCAGCGGGTGTGGATGCACCCTTCCCCCTGAAATACTGGCGGGTATCCGGGTATCCCAAGGGATACCCTGTGCCAAGAGGCCACACCGCCCAGAGGAATCCCTCCCGGCAAGCTGGCTTTTAAACCAGCTCATCGGGAGGGGTTCCTCCCAATGAGCTGGTCTGTGTGCCAGCTTGTTGGGAGGAGCCCCTCCCAGCAAGCTGGATTGTTTACCAGCTTGTCAGAAGGAATCCCTTCCGAAGAGCTGGTTGAAAAACCAGCTCACCGGGAGGAATTCCTCCCGTCAAGCGTCTACAGGCCAGCTTGCTGGGAGCGGTTCCTCCCGGCAAGCTGGTTTTTAAACCAGCTTGTTGGGAGGGGTTCCTCCCGACGAGCTGGATTGTCTACCCGCTCTTCAGAAGGAATCCCTTCCAACAAGCTGGTACAAAGACCAGCTCGTCAGAAGGGGGTCCTTCCGACAAGATGGTTTAAAAACCAGCTCGCCAGGAGGGGGTCCTTCCAACAAGCTTGTTCAAAAACCAGCTTGCCGGGAGGGGTTCCTCCCGATGGTGTGGCCTCTGCCCCTCTAGGCCAAGGGGGCCGGGGGGTTTTTTTTTTCTTTTTTTTTCAAAAAAAACACTCTCCTGGAAGAGCCGGTGTGGAACCTCTTGGGAGGAATAGAGCTTGAGAGGGATGAGTGCTTTATTGGGCTGCCTCTCTGATAACAAGAAAATATAAGAGTATGGACTCTTAAGGAAAGGTGTGGCTTGGGAGATTTCTTGAGGATGGTATGTATGTCTTATGTTTACTAGTCTAAATATACTTGTTCACAGATCAAGGTATCCCAAATGTTGATGGGCAAATACCTGGCTAATAATGGGTGATCAGTTATCTGAATTTCTGGGGCAGGATCTGATGAGGAACAAAGGAAGAGGAAAAACAAAGCTCCTTATATACAAAATTCTGGGGAGTGGCCAGCTTGTGGTTGGAAGATAAATGTGAAATTCTATGAGAGCATGAACAAGAGAAAATATTTTTATCCATAGAAACAGGGGAAATAGGCAGTGGGCAAATGCTCCCAAGGTTACTAGTATGAAACAAATAAGGAGAAAAATATTCCATGGAAGGAGATAGGAGGAAGTAACTGTTTCATGGACAAGGGGATTGTTACTAGTGTGAGACAACAGGGGGAGGAAGAATGGAATTGTTTGGAGGGGAATGAGTTTCAAGGGTGTGGATTTTATGTTGGGATGACAGGGGGAAATTCTATTATCCAGGTGGCCTGTGCTTGGGTGGTTCCATGAGTGTTGTTTTGGGTTGGTTTGAGGGCCTGAGGAATTCCTAAGGGGTCTTTATCCTGTGATTCTTGTGTGATTTGTACTCTTGCTCTCCTTGGATTTTCAGGATTGGCTTACCACACCGGCTGCCTCACCGCCCATTCAGAGGCCGGGTATCCGCGCGGATACCCGCCAACGCTGGCGGATGCGGATGTGTGTTTCCGCAGAAATCGTGAGTGGATATCCGCATCCTCGCGGATATCTGGATTCAATGGGACCATCTCTAGGTTTAACTAAGACCCTCATTTTATGCTATAAGAGTAGACTTATCTCTATTTAGAATGAAAAAGAAATAGAGATAAAAAGATGAAAGAATTTACCACAACAGAACAGATTAAATGTCAAGAGCAACTGAGAGAGAGATCAGGAATAGATGAGGACACAGGACTATGAGAACAAGATGATAAGGGTTAGTGATGAGTGTTGCTCAATGAGTTGAGAGATGTGGTGTATTTCTCACCAAATTGAATCAAACTATTGTGATCCAATGCAAGAGAAGATCAACAAAGTCAATGAGAGAGGAAGTTGGTGATTTTGAGGTAAAGCTTGACAAAGTCAGCAGGAGTTTTGAGGGGAGAGATTGAGAGTGAGGTTGAGGTTGGATAGATGGAAGAATGGAATGGGGAATAAGAAAGAGAGGAGAGTCAACAAATGGGATTGAGAGCAAGCGGAAGGAATGTTCCAGTATACATTATAAGGTTGTAAGTTAATTTCAGTTACTTGGTACATGTCACGTACTGTGAAATGTACTCTGTGGCGGACATTTGGCCTGGTTCTCCAAATGTTTTTTGACATCAGTTTTGAATTTAAAGAAGTCAACCAAGTTGAGCATTTCCGATTGTTTTGAAATGTGACTGCACTGGGACTATCAATTATGAGTGATTGAAACAAGTGATGATCATCCTGTAATGGGCACCCAACCTATATTGTTTTTGAGGTCCTAATGATTCCAAAATTCAGCTGGGCACATTTTTCACTGTTCTTTGCTTGGCAAAGTGGGCCAACAGCAATTTCAAAGCACAATATAGATTGAAACCTGCCAGGGGATCAACACTTTTGCAGAAGACCTAAAGTGTTCCTAGCTGTCAAACTTGCTCTGCGTTTTCTCTCTTCAATAATTTCCCTGCTAATTACCATGTGCATCACATTGTTCCAAATATCTGGACTGTTGTCTGGCCAGGGGGATGTTGCAATGTTTCACCGGCCCTACCTCCTTCAGAAGAGGGGAAGTTTGTTGTCTGAATTGACTGGGCTGGTTGAGACCCAGAAGCATACCAACCATCCCAGCTGCATCCAACAGGATTATCTAGAGTTGCCAAAGAAATATGGAGAGCACTATGCAGCTCAACTGATGCTGCAGATTCAAGTATAAATTCCACATCATCCAAGAAACATCCATCAAGAAGCTCACCCCTATTGCCTTCTCTCTATCCAATCCAACAGAAGTAAGAACCAATGACTCAACCACTACCAGCCACCAAAGAACTCCCTTCAGCAAACATTAAACTTCATAATTTCTGGAACCTATGCCCTGGGCTTGCACCAGCGGTGGGCCGCTACGCTACACTACGCTACAGGCCCATTTAGCGTTAGCGTAGCGGCGCCAACAGCTGCTTTTTTTGTGTAGTGTTAGAGCACTACACTGATTTGTAGTGGTGCTAAAACTAGCCATTTTTTGGTTTAGTGTTAGCGCGCCTCTAGCCCCGCTATGCTACAGCGTTTTTAGCGGCAAAAAACACCTAAAACTTGCTCAAAACTTCTGTAACGCAGTGCAGCGGGCGGTTTTTTGCGCCCTGTGCGCGTAGTGTTAGCGCAGATGGGGGGAAATTATGCTAACACTATGCTAAACAATAGCGCTATTTTGCGCCCCATGCGCGTAGCGTTAGCGCAGAAAATGAGAAAAAGTGTTAAAGCTACGCTAAATTGTAGCAGTTGTTTGCTACACTACGCTACAATAATGCTACTTGCACTGGACATTGATCAGGATGCACTCAAGGAGAAATTTATGGAAATTCCTCATCCAATTTTTGGCAGTTGAGCCAGGCTAATGATGTACAAAGTGGATCTCTACAGCTGCTGCAAAGAAGCAAGTGAATTTGACTCTCTCCTGAAACAGGTTCTCTTTGATTCCATACCCATGTTTTTGAAAAACAAATTTGCCTCTGTGAATATTCAGATCTTCTTTGATCAAGTTGCCAGAGTTTGTATCAATAGGAAGCCACATGTTGAGCAAGTACAGGGAAGTGTCATCATCTTCATGAGGACTGTTTGCAAAGTGTCTGAATGTGTAGGAAAGATGGCAAGTGAAGCCGTTGGTGTCAGTGAAAAAGTGAGGAGCCAGACCAGGAGCTTCCAGAGGTTGAAAGTGCTCTTTCACTTCATTGTAGAGAGGTTTAGAAAGTAATTGAAAGTGTTTGCCAATGAATTCATTGATGGTTGGAACATTTGTTTGGAGGTCTTCATATCCGATTTGATCGAAGGATACTTATTTGGAAATATATGGAGCACCAATTGTGGTTTCAGCTTCAAAAGCCTTGTGCCAGCCAAGGCTATACATGTTTCCAGCATAAGCAGCAGAATTGATTTTATTGGGTTTCTGGAACTTTGATTGCTCTATGAGATGGCAACTTGAGTATTTAAATTGTGTTTTGAGAGAGTCATTCATAGTGTTGAACGGATGAAATTTCACTACGGACACAATGTTTTTTTGACTAATTGGGGTGTTGGAATCCTCCTTTTAACATACATGCGCTGTGATATAAGGTTAGCCAGCACACATCACATTGGATGCTAGATGTTTTTGCCACTGCTTCTTGGCCTGGTGGGCTTGGAATTGTTGTTGTTGGTTGATGAATGGTTGAGGAGCAGGGGCACCCGTTGGATCATCCCTTTTCTTAAGTTCAGTAGTTGTTCTCAGTTGAAGCCCTGACTCTTGAGATAGCATCAGGCATCTCTGCTGGATTTTAAGTATGCACTCAAGAGGATCATGAGTTTTGCCTGGAAAATTATTGCACACAAGAGTTTTGTCAGCCTCTGGGTAACTAACCTGAGTGTTTAGTGGTAAAAGGTTGTTACTATGAGTTGACTGAAGTGTTTGAGCATGGTGAGTATTAGGTAGTGGGTGATTAATACCAGTCCTGTAAAGAGGAGGTTTCACTCTATCAGTATGGTCTTTACTGAGAGGCTTGCTATCAACAGCGCATCCGGATCAATACAAGGTATTAATAGGCATCCAGGGTACTAAGACTCACCTGGGATTGATTTGGATATTCCCAAAAGGGAATGGGCTAACAATACTTATTAAGCTTTAACAAAATTAGTTGAAGATTAACAGGTATTGTTGATGGAATATTCAGCAAGGCTATGGAATACTGTGGATAAGTGAGTAGAGTACTGAGCTAAGACATAAGTAGACTAGATTATGTGTACGTACTGATCAAATAAATGTAACTGGTTACTGGGGTCACTGGTGTCTGAATATTCTGGGGAATTAATCAGTGGAAGTGGCACGGATTATAAGTTCCAGAATATTACATGGGGAAATGGAGGTGTGCTCTGAATCACGGGTGAAAGTACCATGAGGGAGAGCAGTGTTAATTGATTAACTGATCTTTATTTGTAATGATCTGTTATAGCTGTCATAGTATTTACTAGAGGATCAGTAAGTGATATTTGTGATGTGTACATCTAACAGATCCTTTCAAATGAAATAACAAATAAGGGATCTGTACATGTATTGATTGTATTACTTCAATTGTTACACAATGATATGCAAACAATACATGTACATTTTATTTGTAATGATTCTTGTCCGTGATGACTTGAAGGACAAGGATAATTAATGATGAAGTCATTATTAAGATCACACAATAAATAATGAGGTCATTATTAATATTTAGTAAAAGTATTGATTGTATTTATTCAATGATTAATTGATACTCAACATTCAAGGTGTGTACATATTTCTCTATACAGGTATTTGACTGTGAAAATACTGTAGAACAGGGATAACTTGTGGTACAGGTATTTCACGGGTAAATGAATGAAAGGCAAGTGATTATTACTTAAGTATGTAATCTGTATGTATTTAATAGATAAGTAATTAATAAGATAAGATAAGTGAAATAAGATAAGTTAAAGATAATGATAAGGTAACAAGAGGTAAAGGTAAACAACATTATGGATAAGTACTTATGTACATAAGTACAGGTGTTGCAGTTACTTGGTACATGAAAGGTACTGTGACATGTACTCTGTGGCTGACAAGTTTGGGAGGCCAAAGGGTCTGCCAGATTGGAGAGATTTGTGATAGAGCTTGAAGATTGGGTGGATTGCATGAGTCAATTTGATCTGTTAACAAAGGTTGTGGGGGGAGGGTTCAATTTATATTGGATTTATGAGGAAAGGTTGTGGTGGAAAGGTTTGATGGTTTTAATTTGTTGATCATGTGGATTGGATCATGAAATTGTTTGACGCTAGAGCCAAAGCCACTTTGGGGTTTTTGATTTTTATATCTGGTTTTCCGGCAAGAAACACAAGGACAGACACCTCTACACTTCACACACAGCATTTTTCCTCCCAGTATAATCTCCAGGTGTGGGGGTCAAAGTTTGGTATGTCGTTGTAAACAGGCCTTGTCAGGCAGGTGTAGCAAACTTGGACAACACAGCTGGGAACCTGAGATTGATCATGAATCATCTTTGGTCAAGTGGTCTTGTGACGGAATTGATGACAGCTTGAGGATTTGTATTGTCCAGTTTCATCAGGTTTGGTAGTACTAGCTTGCTTGACTTCACCGTTACAATTTTTGTTGACTGGACAATTATGATTTGTGTTGGCCGGTGTTACTGGGGAGTCTGGTAAAGTTGGGGGATTCATGTGTGATGGAGATTTGGGGCGCTTGAAACGGGATGGGTTAATGTTTAGCTCAGTTTGCAGCTTCTGTATAGACAAGATCAGCAAAGAAATGTTAGCTTTCATCTGTATATCAAGCCATAAGCATAATTTATCTGACAAAGTAATCACTGACAGCACCAATGACTGGCCCGTTACCAAGGTGCTTAGGCTTTGAGCCGCTGGCCATCATTGCTGGGGAAGTAGGTCAAGGGCAAGATGCAAAGGGGAAAAAATTCAGGGATACTGAGTTTCTGAAAAAGATTGTCCATGGAGAGTTTGGATGCAAAGGGAAAAGATGAATGGAGAATGGGACAAGAGGTTTTGATTATTTAGCTTGGAAGCATCTTGAGGGAAGTTTGGGTTCATGCCCATGGCAGCCGCTGGCTTTTCTAAAAAAATTCAAGAGTGTTACATGATTGTGGTTAGACTGCTCCACATCCCCTATTGTGCAAGGTGTGACTCGGCTGCAGCAAAGCCAGCTGGAAGAGACTACACCTGTCTCCTCTGAGCCACACCACCTGAATCCAAAATGATTACCCCTCTGAGTCACTACACAAGGGATGTAATTAACCTAACCATACCTGCCAGTTGCGTTATTTGAACCAGAGGTTGAAAGCATTTAGACCGCAGAGATTTAAAGTGTTTAAACCTCAGATAAATTCAAAACATGTTCAAAGGTCATGTTTTCACTATGGTGGATTACCTCTTGGTTTGCATCAACAATACCTTGTTGGGACTTTCTTTTCTAAAGCAAGCAGGAGAAAGATGTTTGACTCAATTCTTCTTTGTAACAAAAAAAAATCATCTAAACACATGGACACTGAGGATGTCACACTTTGTACACTTTTCACGGTGGGTCATCTGATATTTTCAGTACATTGTTCTGAATTGAACTGGTTCAACAAAAAAAATTCAAGTCATGGGAATTGATGCAATGGTGTAAAAGGGAGAATTTACTTATATTCCAAAATGTTTTTGGGCTTTTGCCCCCTTTGTCAATGGGGCTTTACTGCTTAAATGATCATGGCCAAATTCATTTATGGTTTTATTTTTATACATTTATGAAGTATGGGGGTTGATAAGCACAAGCCAACCCCCCTTGCGCACGCCAATCTGCGCACAACTTGCAGATTAGTGTGCAGGCCCACACGCCAAATCAGATTGGTGCTGCAGCAAGGTGCAGGTCCTAAACCTATATTAAGACCAGGGCTATCCCAATTCCCTCCTGGCCGGCAAGGCTGTACAACCTCGTTGACCAGGAGGGAATCCTCCTGGCGGGCAAGGTGGGCCTTGTCAACCTTGTAGGACACTGGCTGGTGTCCTACAAGGATTGACAAGATTTTTTTTCAAACACTCTAGGCTATCCCATAGGACCCATGCCTGGGTCCTATGGGATAGCCCTGGTCCTAAACCCATATTAATATTAGGACCATATGGGTTTAGGACCTGCATGCCAATCAACCTTGCTGCAGATTGGCATGCCAATCTGCTTTGGCGTGTGGGCCTGCACGCCAATCTGCAAGTGGCGTGCAGATTGGGGTGCGCAAGGGGGGTTGGCTTGTGCTTATCAACCCCCATGAAGTACACTTTAAAAGCCACTACTTTACATGCATGTTTAATTTCTAGTAAAGTTCATTTGTGAGATTTTGCTTCTAGATGAGACCTGTCATGCAAACTCCAATGCTTCTCTGATATTTCAGAAGAGCTTGGTATCAATACTGCCTTTCTGCAACAGTTGTCACCTGCAATAAATGATTTCTATCATTCCTTTCAAGATAGAAACTGCATAAATTTTATGCACAATAGCAGTGCATTTATTCCTCAATAACAGTATTGTTAGTACTGTTATTCCTCAATAACAGTACTTATCCCCTGCAAGTTGGCGTGCAGGTCTGCACACCAAAAGATTGGCTGAGATTAAACGCATATATATTGATACATATGTGTTTAACTATCCCCTGGACTATTCCATAGGACCCAGGCATGGGTCTTATGAGATAGAACAGGGTTTCAAAATAAAAAAAATGGTGAGGCTGGGAGGACCTCATTTCAGCCCAAAAAGACTGTACAGTCTCAACACCGGGTGGGTTTTCTCCAGGCCATGAGACTGTAAATGGCTCAAGGCCATGTGGAATTCCTCTCAGCCTTGATTTTGACAAGGCACAACCTCATCAACTGGAAGGAAGACTTTTTGTTTGAAGAGATACACATACCTTGTTAGCCACAAGATAAACATTCTGGTCGACAAGGTATATATACCTTGTCAACCAGAAGGTTTTCCTTCCTGTCCTTTTGGTCAACAAGGACTACCTGGTTACCTTGATACTCTACAGTCTCAATGATGGGAGGAACTTCTCCTGGCCTGGAGACTCTACATTTGTTGGTCTGGGAGGAGTTCTTCCCAGCCCAAAGGCATTGAACTTTTTTCATCCCTCTCTGAGGGGAGTGCAGACCCGCACACTAATTTTGATTGGTGTGCGGTCTAGAGATGGCCCCAACATATCCAGATATCCGCTTGCTTTCTTAGTGGAATTGGACATTTATATCCGCTGGTGCTGACACTGGCAGGTATCCACAGATATCCGCCCCTTGAATGGTTGACAAGGCACAACCTTGTTGACCAGAAAAAAGAACTTCCAGTCGACAAGGTGAAGGAAAACCTTCCAGTTAGCATAGAGTCTGACATTATATGTCACAGTACCTACCAACTAACTCCAACACCTGTACATATTTACATATGTACAAATTCTATAAATGATGAACTAAGAACTGAGGAGGAATAATTAGAAGACAAGGGTGAGGTAGATGCAACCTCAACACTTCAAAGCATGATACTCAGTCCCAGTTGGCCCAGGTGAGCATGGTTTATAACTGGGATGATGAAATATATTGATGTGACATATTTTGTGGCTCATTAGGCAGCATCAGCAATTTGCTCAATTATGGCCTTGACCCAAAATCATCAATCAAACTGCCTGAAACAAGAAAAAACAAATGTTTGAACATTTGTGGCACCAGAACAAGAATATACAAAATTCACTATGAATCAAATAAAAATAAGGAGATTCATGACAAAAAATCAAATAAACTAATCCCATTTTGGAGCTGGTGTACCCTTAGGCCTCAAACAAGAACTGCAAAAAGATAAATCTACATGATTCTATTGCACCACAAATCAGTAAGGATAAAAGACCTGGTGAGTGATTACAAAAATTGTTTTGCTCACCTGTTCAAAACAAACCAAACAATTCCAAAATGTTTGAGAAGAGGAAGCCTTCTTTTTTCCTTCCACCTTGGATATGCTAGCTTTTTGAATGACTACAATTTCTTCATCATCACTAACAGATTTTTTAGACTGAAAAACTTGAATCTCATCATCTTCTTTGGGAGTATTCACTTTAGAAGTTGATTTGCTAGAGCTAGAAGACTTGGCTGGTTGGAAGTTCTTGAAATCAGCTAATATACCCTTCATCTCATCTCTCAGATTGCCCTTTTCACTTTCAGTCTCTGCTGCTGATTTGGAAACTTGAGGTTCAAAATCTTCCCACTCGTCTTCCAGCCTGATGACTTCAACCTCTTCACTGTCTTCCACTACTGTTGAATTTGACCCAGATTGCTTCTTCTGAGATTCTTGAATTCTCTTTTCTGCTGCAAGAGCCCTAGCATTCTTTGCAGCAGCTGCATTGGCTCTCTTCCTGTAAACAAAAGAAAATTAGTCTATGTAGCACTCTCTTGAAAACAATAATGATTATTAACCTACCTAAATGAAGATGGTCCATCAACTTCCAGCTTCTGCCCTTCCCCAGCAAACCGATCAGCCTTCCTTTTCTTAACTGTTCTTGGTCGATAAACTCGTCTTCTAGTGCCTTGTCTCTGAGACCCTCCACTGGCATAAAACATAACAATCAGATACTGAGTGCACAGGCTTGAATCTAGAATAATTCACTGACCAAGTATATTCTGGCAAGTCTGAAGCATTGAGTGCTGCATCACCATGAAGTACTGCAGAGTCCCTCAATCTTTGACCTGAGGACCAAAATCCTAAATAGCATGAAATGTGCTCAGTATTGGAAAAACATTTGGATTGATATAAAAAGAACAGACCTGGACCATAGTATCCCTTTTGCTGCAACTGTTGTATCTCTTTGCGGAGCTGAAGATTCAATTTCTGGAATTGTGGACCTTTTCAATGCAAAAAATCAGTAATAAAGAAAGTGGTTCCCACAAAATAAATACTAACCATGATTCACTGTACATAAATTGTTTAAATTGATTAGCTTTTGGGTTGGGTTGATTCAGAATATATAGCTGAACTCACTGTGATGTATATGGGCCAATTCATGAGCCATCACTGTTAAGAGATAGCCCATTGGCTTCAGAAGAAACAATCTTTAGTTACTTGGATAAATTCATAATCTCAAATCAATTAAAGAAGCTCAAGCCACTTACTAGAAAGCTTCCATCTTTTCTTCTCAACACAAGTTCAATAATTTCTCCACCATTCCACTATGTGCAAGAAACATATAAATTAAACTCAAGACTATAAAGACCTACAACAGAAAAAAAAACTTACATTCCTCCCTGCAAATTCAGAATTCCATTCATATTCATTGAAGCTATTCAAGCCCATTCCATGAGTCTTCATAAGAGGCTGGAAAGGAAAATTTATCAATTTAATACTGAAAAAAAAAATGATTCTGTGAAAGCTCACCACCACTTGCCTACAACAAGTAATCAAAGTTCAAAATAAAAAAATTGCATGATTAGATTATTAAAGAGATTGGATTATAACAAGATGAATAAAACTTACGCAGCAATAGCTCTCATGATAATTCTGGCAGACTCAGGATTAGTGAAGTTTTTGTTCCTAGATAGCTTGTCTGCTGGTTGATCCCCCAAAACACGTATACTAATCAAAACCAAAAGATATGCAATCAATTTAAAGCAAGTCCTTTCAACAGAAAATAATAAGAAAATAAGTCTTACAAATTAATGTATGGATTGGGGTGTTCATGTTGACTTGCATTTATTCTCTGCATTACTAGAATACTGAACAATATCCAAATGACTTCTATGTGATTAGTACTTCTAGTGACATTAATGTTTGATATTTTTAGAGAAGAATTTACTTACTATGTACGGTAGAAACAAACTTGATAGGTTTCTATATAATGGCCCTCAAAAAGTGGGATTCTTTTTGTTACCTGAATACAGTTCCTTTCCAAGTGTTTTCTTGTTGATTTAAAAAATCAAGGAGTTGATGGTTCCTACACAGTATGGCAAGAGTACAAATTGGGACTGTCCCAGGTCCCATACAATCCACCCCCCTGAATTACAAACAAGCTCACCCTGGCCTTAGCTTTGGTTTGTTGGATGTTCCCCTTGTACACAAGTTAATATACAAAGCATTCTTCAGAGTCCAATTTCACCAATCATAATGGTATCCTGTACCTTCTGATGCTATAGAAAGTTTCAATTGAACTGTCTGTCATAGGGTTGAGGTACTTCCAAGTGTCAAAGGGTTGGAAGACTTGGCTTAATTTTGTCCTGGGAGGCCACTCAACAGGCTGGCAGATCAACCTGAGCCTGCTGATGCTGTGCCAAAAAATGGAAGACATTCTCAAGAGGCTCTCAGAAATTGTAGCTGGGGGCCTGATCAGTTTGTACATGAAGAGGATGAAGTATGAGCAGCTCAGTCCTACATTGGAAGCTGATTTGGACTAGCTGTTGTTTGAGTGGTATGTGTTGTTTCCTTTGTTTGATGTTTTGAAGGAAGAGTATTATGGTTTGCAATAGATTTGGATCTGAAGTAGAGTATATCTCCGATCAAGACATCAGACACAAACCCAAGAAGAACCAACTACAGACACACAAAACGATGGACACGAACAACGAGCCAGCCAACCCCCCCACCAAGGAACCTGGGACAACACCGAAATCAATCACCAAACCGAGGAAGCTGATCATCTCGAACGGTCATCTCCAGGCGTTTATCGACTCGGTCACTCATGCCGAGGTGGTCGACTTCATCGAGAGCTTGAATCAATCTATCATCGGTCTTCCCCTCGATCATCCTCTCCCGCTTTCAGATGTCAGCTGAGACTTCCCTCTTGACCATCCACATGAACACGTCGGAAGATGACGGGTCTAAAGTTCTGATGTGTTTGATTTCATATTCTACAAAAAAAAAACTCGGTCAGAATATCGACAGGTTACTTGAGATTCTGGAAAACATTAAGAATATCGCTCTCGCACATCCGCCGGTTGATAACAAAGCATCCAGATTTGGAAACCCAGCGTTTCGAGAATTTTATGATCAACTGGATCAGGTAAGCAAAAGTCAGAAAGGTTGAACATCGTTGTTACCATTTTGATTTTTTTTTGGCGGGGTCGCGTCTTGATAGTAAATTGATGATCTGTTTGTATTCATTTTTCTCTATCCTTCGCTCGTTTTTTTTTGTCGGAAAAAGGGATCGGAAGCTCTACACAGTTCACTTGCCATACCGGAAGACAAACGCGTAGAACTATCGACTTATCTTACTGAGTCATGGGGGAATCGGTCGCGGATCGATTACGGAAGTGGAATGGAATTGAACTTCCTTTGTTGGCTGTTGGTCCTCCCTTTTTTTCCTTTATACAAATCGTCTTCTTTCTTTTGCTACAAAAAGTAACAAGCCAACTTTCCGTTTTCTGCTTTTTTTTGTCTCACGCAGACTTTGTCTGAAGAAATTGAAAGTGTTTGGGTCTGAGGATTATCCGGCTGTTGTCTTGAAAGTGTTCTGGAAGTTGAGTCATTCCCCCTCGTGTTTTCTCTTTTTCAGCTAGTTGATTATTCTAAAGCTCAACAAACTCGCTTTCTTAACCAACCAATTTTGCAGATACATTGAGGTGATGCGCTATTTGCAATCGACATATTGGCTGGAGCCAGCAGGTACGTGAAGGAACAATATCTTGCTTTCCGAGCTTTTTGTTTCTACTCCGAACGCTCGAATACTTTGCTGATACAAATCTTCTGTCTATCGTTACCTTTCTCTAAGGCTCGCATGGAGTTTGGGGTCTGGATGATTATCACTTTTTACCGTTCCTGTTTGGGGCCGGTCAGTTAAGGAATCACAAGTATCTCAAGCCGAAATCGATCCATGATCCGGATGTATTAGAAGGCTTTAGTCATCAATATATGTACTTAGCCTGCATTCAATTTATCAACTCTGTAAGCCAGGCATCTTGTTCCTTCATTTTGAAAGTGCATAAGTTGACTCATGATGTGTCACGTTTGGTCGCGAATTTAGATCAAGACGGCAAGTTTACGTTGGCATTCTCCGATGCTAGACGACATTTCTGGAGTCAAGACTTGGGATAAAGTGAGTCTCTGGTGTTTGACACACTTCCTTGTATCAATCTCAACTGATCGAAATCAAACCAAATTTAGGTCAATTCAGGGATGATTAAAATGTACAAAGCAGAGGTCCTTGCGAAGCTACCCGTAGCCCAACACTTTCTATTCGGCACTCTGCTTCCTTTCCCAGATGGTCATATTCAGGAGGTCGAAAGTAAGACAGACGGATCTTTAGTTGTAGACCATGCTGGCCATTTACATGTCAAAGGTCAGCAAGGTTGGGGGGAATGTTGTGGGATCCCTATTCCCAGTAGCTTTGCTGCTGCCACTGCCGAAAACAAAAACCCTGCGATTAGAAGGATCCCTTTCGATTGACAATTTGTTTTCAAAATTTCATGATCGTTATTCCTGGTCACGCGTACAAACTTGAAAAATGTCACCTTTCATGAGAATGGAATTGTAGATTGACCGGTTTGTATCTTGATAGTTTGTATGTAACATTTAAATGCAAAATAGCAAACAAAACAAAATAATCAACAAATGATCTTGCAAGTTTAAATTGAAAAAGGAAAGAAAAATCAGGTGGGAAAATTCTTAATGAAATTTTCGAATTTAGTAGGTAGGTCCGCAGCATAAACAACCACTAGTATACAAACACAAGTAGAAAAAAGAGGTAGTAGAGTGAACATTGGGAGGAGGTTGAGCAGTAACGGTTCAATAATCACTATGAGATCGACAAAACTATCTGTTTGGGTCGAGTGGGAATCGGAAAATTTATCAAAATTAGGGGTGATAGTCAAGTTGAAAAAAGCAGGGTTAGAAGAAGAAATGGTTATGAGGTCTGAGGGAGAATGATCGAGGTCCAGATGGAGGTCGACATGGTCACTTGCGTCCCAACTGAACCGGACTGAGAATCGCTGTTCCTCTAGGGGTGGTGCTCCAAAGAAGCGTCGCAGAGCGTTGGCTGAATGGTCGATCGAATTGGAAAACGGGTCAAAGAGTTTCTCTTTCGCTTGGCCAGTCGACCGACGGAGTCGTTCGTCCATGGGTACAATCAGAAACAGATATGAAAACTTCTGGGGATCCGTTGTTCTGCTTAATTTCAGCCGGAGCCGGGATGATCTGTTTGGCTTGATGGAGACCGTCTCGGTTGACTCAGTGCTTGGTTCTTCCTCGGTTGAAGTTCTTCCCCGTTGGCCATCTTCAAGTCTATCGCCAGATTCCTTGATGATTCCTCTAATCCGTCCCTCCCAATCACTTTGTCCCTCATCTTCCCAGCTGTTTTTCGACCCTTCATTGGAATCGGAACTAACAAAAAAAATATAAACATGAGAGAACAGCCACGAAACCAGAAAAAAAGGGGAAGAGCGGTGTCAAACCAGCTCGGAGCTCAATGGATGGACTGACTGACTGTTTTATTAGTAGGAACCGATCTATCTGAAATTCTTCCTTCTGATTCCTTGGCACCCCAAACGATTCGATGAGCGTATTCGATTGTACCGTATTCAAACAGATGAGCATCAAGATTGGGACCACCATCCAGGGAGTGCTGAGTAGCTTGACTCTTCTGAAGGGCCTAATATAGCAGCGGTTCGATTCCGTTATTTGTTGCTTATTCCTATCCTTTGTCGATCGTCTGTTGCGAAAACCTACAGTCATAAACATAAGTTGATTCTTAGTTTTGGTTTTAATTTACCAAACCCTTATTCAAGAGTATGTAAATGGCCAGAATGGTCTACAACTAAATATTTGTCTGTCTCACTTTCGACCTTCTGAATATCAGTATCTGGGAAAGGAAGCAGGGTGCCGAATAGAAAGTGTTGGGCTACGGGCAGTTTCGTAAGGACCTCTGCTTTGTACATTCTGATCAACCCTGAAATGACCTAAGTGTGGATTGATTGCGGTCAGTTGAGATTGATATAAGCAAGTGTGTTAATCAATAGACTCACTTTGTCCCAAGTCTTCACTTCAGAAATGTCGTCTAACATCGGAGAATTCCATCGTAAACTTGCAGTCGTGATCTGAACTTGTGCCCAACCGTCACAAATCATGAAAGTCAATTAATTCACTTACAAAATGAAGAAACCAGATGCCTGGCTTGAAGGGTCGATGAATTGGATATAGGCTAAATACATACATTGATGACTAAAGCCTTCTGATGCATCCGGGTCACGGATCGATTTCGGCTTGAGATACTTGTGGTTCCTTAACTGACCGGTCCCACATAAAAAATGATAATCATCCAGACCCCAAACTCCATGCGAACCTTAGAAAAGGGCAACGATAGACGTATGAGCAAAGTATTCGCGCGTTCTGAGTCAAATAAAAGACCTCGGAAAGCAAGATGTTGTTCCTTCGCGTACCCGCTGACTCCAGCCAATATGTCGATTGCAAATAGCGCATCAGCTCAATGTATCTGGAGAATTGGTTTATTGAGAAAGTGATTTCGTTGAGCTTCAGGGTAATCACCTAAATAAATAAGAAAACTCGGGGGGAAATGACTCAACTTGCAGAACACTTCCAACACCACAGTCGGATAATAGTCAGACCCAAACCCTTTTAATTTATATGGACAAAGTCTATGTGAGACAAAAAACGAGACAAACGGGAAAGAAAACGTAACATTAGTTTGTCAATTTTTGCAGCAAGGAAATAAGATTATTCGTATGAAGGAAAAAAAGGGAGGACTAACAGCCCACAAAGGAAGTTCAATTCCACTTCACTTCCATAATCAATTCGCGATTGATTCTCCTCTGACACAGTAAGATAAGTCGATCGTTCTACGCGTTTGTCTTCCGGTATATCAAGTAAACTTTGTAGAGCTTCCGATCCCTTTTTCCGAAAAAAAAAAACAGATTAGTTAAGGGAAGGATGGAGAAAAATCAATAAAAACAGATCATCAAGTCAGAATCGATTCGCGACCCCCCCTCCAAAAAAAAGACAATGGAAAAATTGAAATAGGTAACAAGGATGTTCAAAATTTCTCTGAATTTTGCTTACCTGATTCAGTTGGTCATGAAATTCTCGAAACGCAGGGTTTCCCGATCTTGATGGTTTGTTATCAACCGGTGGATGAACGAGAGCGATATTATTAATATTGTCGAGAATGTCAAGTAACTTGTCGATATTCTGACCAAGAGTTGTTTGGAAGAAGATGAAATCAAACAAATTAGCACTTGATCATGGTGCATCATTTTCGACTTTTTTGTTTTGTTTTTTTGGATGGTCAAGAGACAGAAGTCTCCGCTTACCTCTGAAAGTGGGAGGAGACGATCGAGGGGAAGATCGATGATAGATTGATTCAAGCTCTCGATGAATTCGACCACCTCGGCAAGAGTGACCGGGTCGATAAACACCCGGCGAAGAACATTCGAGATGATCAGCTTCCTCGGTTTGGTGATCGATCTTGTTATCGTCTCGGGTTGTTTGGTGTGGGGGTTGACTGGTTCAGTGTTCGTGTCCATCGTTCAGTTGGTTCTTCGTGGGTTTGTGCTCCCTCAACCTTGTCTTCCAAAATGTTCCCTCAACTAGAGGCCATTAATTCAGCGCTCACTTTGCAGTTGCACATTGAAATAGGATTGAATAGATCCTTGTCATCTCACAATGACAGCGGTAAGATCTTTAGTCATCTAAATGTTTTTTCAAGTCATGATTTAGCTTTCCTCAATTCCAGGCAAAATACCCAACTGTTCTGCTTGTTGTTTCTCATCTTAATTGTACTTGCATTGCTTTGTTGGATGATCATGTAAGCTCTTCAATAGTATTATAGTAATCTGATTCTGATCTAAAGAGACATTAGTCGGACATCCAAGACCATCCTTAAACTGAAGGCCCTCAACAATGCCTGCCATCAATTCATCTAGTATCTTCAGGAATTCACAATGCTGTGATTCCTTAGTAGTGCAACTTATAGAAGACTCTCTTAAAAGACCCACCCAGATTTGTACATTGAATCTATTAATTAAAATGGAGGAAAGAGGATGTATTACTGATGTGGATATGAGGACGATGAACTCATTCACAAACACACAAAGAAAGAGTTTGATTTTTTGTTTTGTTATTTTCTTCTCACTCGACTATCTCCCCTCCCTCACCCGATATATGTACCAACAGAGCAGCTGAGGAACCTCTGGGAATGATCTACATGAACGGTCATCACGAGAAATGTAATTTTGCAAAAGAAAGATGAGACCAAAATTGACACTTGAAGAATTTTTTTTTTGTTTCTAACAAACCATTGATCTAAAGTTGTTTTTCACTCTTCATTGTAAGAAGTTGGAGGTAAAGCTAGAAATCCAGGGGAAAAGGAAAAAGAATGGCTTGTATTAGTTTAGGCTCCGATGATTGGTGCAGATGGATTGGCACTTACTCCTTCACAACTGTCTTGATCTTGCTTTCGATTTCTGGGGTCATCTTTCCACCAGTGATGTCTTTGAGGAGAGCTGATTGCTCGTTCTTGAGATGATCACGGAAAGCGAGATCCCAGCTGACAATCTTCTCGACCGGTACTTTCTGTAAACACAAATCAATTGCCCACAGTCAATTCCTCATTTCCCAATAACAAGGAGTCCCAGAGTTCGATGACTTACATCAAGCATACCGTTCACACCGGCGTATAGGATGGGCACTTGGACTTCGAAAGCCAATGGTTGGTATTGACCTTGTTTTAGGAGTTCGGTAAGACTTATCGTTTCAAAAGTAAAACCTTCTGGTCAGACGAGCATCAAACAAAAAATTTGCAATCGAGAAGCGCGTACCGGGCACCACGACTGAGCAAGTAACGGGTGGAAGCATCAAGATCGGAACCGAATTGGGCAAACGCCGCGACATCACGGTATTGGGCCTGTTGGCAACCACTCAGTACAAGTTCACATAGGAGAACACTGGATTGTTAAACTCACAAGATATAATTTGAGCGATCCGGAGACACTCTTCATGATTTTGGTCTGGGCGGCAGATCCGACACGGGAGACAGACAAACCAACGTTGATAGCAGGTCGGACACCTTTGAAGAACAATTCGGCTTCCAAGAAGATCTGGCCATCAGTGATCGAGATGACGTTGGTGGGGCTGTGAAGGGTTGGATGATCGAGAATCTCGTGTAAGCCAAGTGTCGATCATGGGAGCTTAGTGGATAAGATTGAACATACATATAAGCTGATACATCTCCTCCCTGGGTCTCGATGATTGGGAGAGCAGTCAATGAACCACCGCCCAATTTGTCGTTCATCTTGGCAGCTCGTTCCAATAGACGCGAGTGGAGGTACTGAGACAAGAAGCAAATCAGTCAAGTTGCATTGGGCCAACAGTGATCAAATCCACCTACGAAAACATCTCCGGGGTAAGCCTCACGACCAGGGGGACGACGAAGGAGCAAGGACATCTGACGATAGGCCACAGCCTGCTTGGACAAATCATCGTAGATGATCAAGGCGTGCTTGCCGTTGTCACGGAACCATTCACCCATGGCGCACCCAGAGAAGGGGGCCAAGTATTGAAGAGGAGCTGCCTCGGAGGCAGTGGCGGCGACGATGATCGAGTATTTCAAGGCATCGTTCTCTTCCAAGGTTTGAACCATCTGGGCGACGGTCGATCTCTTTTGGCCAACGGCAACGTAGACACAGTAGAGCTTTTGGGTCTCATCGGTTCCGTCGTTCCATCGTTTCTGGTTGAGGATGGTGTCCAAAGCGACGGCGGTTTTCCCGGTTTGTCGATCACCGATGATCAGTTCACGCTGACCACGACCGATAGGTACCATTGCGTCGATGGACTTGATGCCGGTCATCATAGGTTGGTTGACGGATCGACGGGGCAAGACACCAGGGGCCTTCAAGGAAGCTCGACGACGCTCCTTGCAAGCGATCGGACCCTTGCCATCGATCGGGTTACCGAGTGCATCGACGACACGGCCTAAGAGTTCAGGGCCGACTGGAACGTCGACAATCTGTCCAGTTCGCTTGACAGTGTCGCCCTCCTTGATGAGCCGATCACTACCGAAGATGGTAACACCGACGTTGTCGGCTTCCAAGTTCAAACACATGCCACGGACTCCGGAAGAGAATTCCACCATCTCCTCGGCTGAATGGTAAAATTGTACGTAATGATGTTTCAGCTGATGAGGTTACACACATATTGTAGCAAGAAGGAAATGAATACCTTGGACATTTCTAAGACCGTATACTCGGGCAATACCTAAAAGGGGCCGAAGTGAGTAAGTTGGATGGGGAAACGATGAGTACTAAGAGCATCGAGAACTTGAGGGTGTTCTTACCATCTCCGATCGTCAACACCTATATTTACATGGCTCGTTAGTATCATTCGTTTGTTTGTTTTTCACCCATTGCGATAGAGGTTTGCTTACGCGACCAGTCTCCTGAACGTCAGCGGCGGCGCTGGAGCCACCGATGCGCTCCTCGAGGATGGAAGATACCTCGGAGGCAGCTAGTTCAAATTGATGGGAGGCAAGGTCAAGAGCCGATCGAACGCAGCAAAAACCAGAGGGGGTGCGACTAACCTGGTTTGGCGGTAGCGTACAAACGGAGCTGGGAAGCAAGGGTGGGTAGTTGCTTTCGAAGCTGAGAGAGATGGATGATGAGATATTAGTGAGCCAGCTCAGCAGAACAGACCCAAAATCCAGCCAAGTTAAGAAAATGGCGGCAGTTAGACCTACCACTTGGTTTGAGACGGCGCTGCGAGAGATAGGAGCGGCCGATCGGCAAGCGGAGCGTATGATGGAAGCCATAACAAGCAGACAGCTGGAGGGATGCAGAGGGAAGACAAGGGTTTTAAGGATGCAGGATGGAGACTGATGAAAGTGGTGGAGGTCGGATGGAGGATGGCTTCAAGCTGGCTGGGTGCCCCGGAAGTCAACGTCACTGGTCGCAGTGCTACTTCACAGCAAAGGGTGGCCCGGGCACGAGCACGAACCGGGAAGCAGTTAGGTTTAAATCCCAGTTTAAAACTCAAGACCGATCGAGATTAAACTCGCGGGGGGCACTCCATACAACCAGTGCGCCAGCGCAACAAACCAACCCCCTTTCCCTGGGAAGACCTGACTTAACTAAGCCTCCCAGGACTGGGGGTGCAGAGCACCCCGATGCGAAGCATCTCCCATTCCCGCCAGCCCTGTACCAGGGCCCTCTGAAGCGAGGGACTTGTGTTAAGTCAGGGGAAGACTCCTGCTTGGAATTAACAAAACTGGCAAGTCACGTCGATCACATATGCTCAGCTCGAGCCTCTGGTCTATTGATCAATGTATATTAGATACAGTCTTTGTGATTGATAGGAAGACAAACACCATCATATAGCTGATCTTGTTAATGAGCCTTTAAAATCCTGCAATCCAATTTCTTCTTCCTACTTGGATTTGACATTGATCAAAGTAACTAGCCTGCTAAAAAATAAACAAACTACAATCAATTTATTGCAGAATAACACTTCAAGTTCCAATCATGGCCTTGTTAATTTTCACCTTGGACTTATGCTCATGGCTTCCCTAAGAATCTAATTTATAATGTGATCACAGCTTCAACATTTTAATTTCTATGCCAGCAGTTTGTAATCAAATTTTGATCTGAATTGAGTATAACTAACAAAACATTGTAAAATTGATCTGAATTGCTACTTTTGCTAATTGTGGTGAAAAACTGGAGAAGATTGAAAAAGAAGAAAGAACTAGTTACAGTGTTGCATCATGATATAATTGATAAAAATGATATATCTTCTGTATTTGCTAGCCTACCTGGTGTCATTTCTTCCTTGTTGCTCAATTTTCTTGCACCTAAATCCATTAATCAACAAAATTGCTTCAAATTCAAATGCCTTGTTTATTTAATCAACAAAATTGCTTCAAATTCAAATGCCTTGTTTATTTCATTGATCATTCTGTCGCCATTTTCCATCATTTCTATCTGTCAAACCGGCAAATAGTCGGAATTGGTAGGTCTCAGTTGCCGTATTCCCGGGTCACCTGCTACCAACAATTACCATGATCAGGTTAAACAAACTTTTTCCAGCCAGGTCACCGTCGTTAGCTACAGGTAGCATTGCCTACAACTCCTCACATTAATTTAGTCATCACTGAGAACGTTGAATCCAACTTGTCTGTTCCCTTGACAAGAGTCTGGGATTGCAATTTGTTGGTGGCTTGCACAGGGTATGTGGGACAAGTCCGGCAAAACTAAATCACAGTCAGGTCTGACGTACTACAGAATCAAGACTCTGAGGGAATTAATGAGCGGTCAACGACACCCGGCATTGAGCAAACTCATCATCCCTTCGTGATCAATGTCACCCGACATCGAGAAAACAAAGCATACCTTCAGTCAAGTTGCGACCGTGATCTCGTCTGCCTGACACCGGGTGCAGCTGCCAACCAAACTCACCTTATTTCGTGTATGCGCATGGGCGAGATGTTTTGAGACTCAAGACTCCCGATTCGCTGGGTTGTTTCTCATCATCCCTGCCACCAAACTACAGACACAAAAAACTATATCTTGGCTCCCTCAAAACTCATAAATACATTGGAATAATATTCCTCCCCTTTAAACAAGACATAGCCCCCTAATTTGAAGCTCGAAAATGTTACGTGTTTTCACGCTACTAATGCTGTTGAGCTTGGTTCATCGGATTTATTCCGGAGCGACATGCCCAAGTGGCTCCTTCGAAAAATGCTGTAAGCTGGCCTGACGACTCTCTTATTCGTCTTGCACATTAATACTCATATCAAGTTAGGCGGATTGATAGATGATTGAATTTTATAGAACTGACTTTTCGTCTGGTTTCAGCTGATAAAAACGGGAAAATTCAACGACAAAAGGATAAATCATTTACTTGTAGTCTTGGAATTCAAAATTGTTGCACAACTGTAGTGACCCCAGTAAGTCTCTGATCGATGCATAACTTCTTCAGCCATAAATAATGGAGAGCTAATAGGGAATTGCTCTGGATGTTTTTTCATGTTTGCTTGTTAGCAAAGAGGCACTACCACTTGCGTTAAAGCTATAAACGGAGCAAGATGAATTTCCCATCATCTGATGAACACTTAGAAATGGAATCGATCTTGAATGTAGAATAATCTCTCGAGGCCATTGCAAACTACCCTACATACAAGTATCCGTTTCTGGTAGCTCTCTCTCTCTCTTCCAATACTTGCTCTGAATTTTCTTCATAGAAACATTTTTTGTATTGAGCAAGGAAAGGAGAGCGGAATTGTTCAACACCATTGACCTCATTTGATTTTACTCAAATGAGTGGTCGCGAACTCAAGTCCCTGGCCCCGACCGAGAGACGAGCGGGGCCATTCGCCCCGCGATTCTCTGGTTAAATTTTCCTCGAAAACAGCATTGACTACCAGTTACGATTTCTTCTCAGTTGATTAAATCCATGACATGAACAACTGCCATCTTAGCCATTCACTGATCCTCATAACATGACTATACTCATTGCAAGAGTTTGAAAAGTGATCACAAAGCCTACGGGAATACTAATAAGAATCTAAGCAAGATGAGTTGGTGGAGCCTTGTAAGAGCTAGCTGGGGCTGGTTCATAATTACCGTAGCTTCCGTGAACTTGGCCAGGGTCCAAATTATCTCCGTCAGCTTGCCCACATTTGGGCTGCGCAGGTGATGACTGATTTGGATATTCGACATTGGACCAGGCGGGTGGCAGCTTGAAGCCTGGGTAGTTGGAGTCGTGGTTCTTTTGTTCTTGGGAAACGTCCGGCTTGCCTTCGTGAAACTTCCCATCACTACTCTCCCACCCAAAGGCACCCGTTTGAGGATTAGCGATCGGGTTGGTACCGGGACCAGAAATCCCTCCGAGACCACTAGAGTGAAAACCGCATACATCATCAGATTGTGTGTTCTGCTCATAAAGCGAAAATTTCAATGGAAGGTCGACCTACTGCCAAAAGAACGAATGATAATTGGTGAAGTCGGCTTCCATGTCGGATGGCGACGGCAAATCGGTGTAAGCACAGCAGGTGCCGTAAGGCTATCAAGAAAGATCAAAACCAACATAAACTCCTACTCTTGATAGCACGAAGAGTAAAGTAGATGAACCAGCTCCTCAAAACTCACGCAGCCATGGTAGTTGTCATCAGAATGGTCAACGTTGAATGTTGCGAACAATTGAACTAAAAAGAATCAAGAATTACAATCAATTTTCCCTTGAAAACAAAGCATTCTCCAGGGAATTCGACACCTACCGTTTGGATACGCTAGCCTAGTATTTTGGGCACATTCCGCGACTTGGATTGCCTTATAACACTTTGATCCGTCTAGAGCAACGGTTTGAAAGGTCGTGCAGGTTCAAATTCAATCACTGACAACAAGCCTTAACAACACGCTTGAAACCCTCACCTTTGTGTTCATTCATCCAGTTTTGGGAAGGTCTATAGTCATGAAGATGACCAGTTGCCGGATCCCAATTCGCTATAACCAGGTTGGAGCATAACAAAATCATCGAGGATGAGAAGATCGCGAGATTTATAAACCCCATATTTTCCGAAAGCTCTGAGTAAATGTTAATTTTGAATGAGGTACCGAGGCTTGTGGAGAAGCTTTGAACGCCAATAAACATCGTCTATTTATAGAGCTAGCTGGATCACCCTGACCCACTGAAAGTGACCCAGCCCTCGGCAAAAGGTCTGGAGCCTGAAACAAGGTTTGCTCCAGCTCCAAAGGCACAACTTGCAAGGCAGGTATTGGCATTGGAGATCTGTCAAATGTGATCCTTTTCGCACAATATCTGATCTTCAATCGGCAATGAAGCTATCAAAAAGTTGGGAAACGTGCCATGAATTCTGGTCCGCTCGGCTCTGGCAGGCTCTGGCCCAGGTGAGGCTATGTTAAACTGAGTGCTTTGCACGAAATTATGGAGCTCCAATTTATTATATCTTGACATGGTAGATGAAGAAATCACGATAGTTAGTGAAAGGCTGTCGCGGGCTTCAAAGCACAAATCTTTCATGCGCTCCGAGTTTTGAAATCGTGAGATTTATGCTGCGACACAAGATGATATTGTAATTTAATCATTTGACCCTCGGCGGCTAGAGTGGAAAATGATCAAGCAGGATTAAGCCGACTTCAATCTACTTCAATCCCTCAACAAACAAGTCCATTTTGACAGTCCAGATCAAACTACGGCCCACAACGCGCACTTAACAGATGGAGCACCCGGCGCCTAGCCCTCACCTCGAGCTGTACAAGCTTCAGTGTGCATATCGGTGTGGATTCCGGTAGAGGTTGCCTGGAGGAGACATATACACCGGCTGGTGAGCCGGCGATGCGCTTGATCAGTTGAGCTCGGAAAACTCGCGTCGCAAGCAACTTTTCATCCCGCAGAACACAAGTGATTGGACTCGGAAGGCGCAAGAGTGCCAATTGAGAATATTGAAGTCTATGTATCCAAACTAAAGGCGGGTATCATTAGAGTGCAACATAGACTCCTGTATTACGAAAGGTTTTTCTAGCAACAAAGGATACGCTCCAGAACACCAACCTCGCGCTTAGTTACGCAGCCCGACTGAGCCTCTCCAGGGGAGGGTGCAGATGATAACACGTGAGCCTCTCCAGTGGAGGGTGCAGATGATAACACGCTATTGCATGATACCTCGCGAAGTCTGACCACAAGTCCAGCTAAATGGAGCAATGAACTCAATTTTGATTTTGCAGCCCAAACAATTGTGTTAAAAGTTGCATACTTTGGTCAACAAAGATGTGATACAAAGCATTAGAGATGAATAGATAATGAAGTACACAATACCCAGCCTGAGGGCTGCATTTTGAAATTATTGAGGTTTGTGGTAATTATAAGCAACCAACTTGATTTGGTTTTTCATGTTTTTTTTTTTGGAAAGGTTGTCCTTTTATCTTTGGTGGGTTGTGTAGTATTTCATGTTTCTCAAACTTGATGCAGAAGATCCAGGAAAATATCAGACCTCACAGTGGAAAATTTCAGATTCCACCTGGCCGGTCAACAGTAAAATCTGATTTTGGCTAAACCTGCAGAAGGATGTATTGTGTTTCCAAGAAAGCTTGGATCAGTTTGCTTTTTGAATTTTTTGCAATCCTTTGAATTTGATTTTGCTAATCCCATATTTTCATTTTCTCAGTCGGGTTTTGTTGGAATTTTGCCTCTTTTCTTCTCATCCCCAAAAAACCCATCTATCACTTCTTTAAAAATTTTCTGTGTGTTATCTTGTCATGTTGTCTAGTGCTGAAATCCTTGTAGTCTTTGAACCCTGGTCTAGTCTTTATCAAATTTCATTTATTCCAGTCATCTTTTCAAACATATGTTAAATCTGTTTTATTCATTTTTTTCTCAAACCACAGATTGAACTTCTTGTATGTAGTCTATTTAACGCATAGGCTCTAACAGTGAATAAAAAATCATTGGCTCTCTCATTCATTTCCCGACCCCCGAGTCAGTCCAACAAAATTCATTTTTGTTGCCCCCCAAAAATTCTTTCTTCTCAAAATAATTCTCCTTGTCCTTGGTTCAAATTTCTTCCGGTTTTATCTTGACAGATGTCAGATAACACCCAGGGATAAAACCACCTCCGGAGCCTTGTTGCTCCAGTAGATGCTCTTGGAGGAGAATTAAGAAAAAACGAGGTTCATATTTGGAACCGGAGCAGTTTGTAGGTCCAACAAGCTGCTCACTGGGACCGCCGGTCACTCCCTTCTGCCCCATCAGTGATGCCGACCAAGCACTGGACCATCACATGAGCTGAGAAAAAAGTTGAAAACCCTGGGACACCTGAGGCAGAAACATATTTGAAATTAATAAATTCCAAGGATTACAAAAAATTCAAAAAGTGAACCGATCCAAGCTTTCTTGAAAACACAATATGTGAATCAGTTAGACAAAAAAAATTTGAACAGTGAACAGGATTGAAAAAACAACCCCCTTTTATTACACAAACATCCACAAAAGTAAGATTTGACTGGGATTGGTTCCAGTTGACCACTCAGAGCATCTTCAGCAGAGCCAGGGTGTATTACAGTCCAAATAGCAAGCCGGGACCAAATTTCACCCCCCCTGTACCAGCTTACAGTGGACTGGCAATAGCAGGGGGTGCATGGCCTGGCATGTGCAATCCAAGATTAGGTATTGCTTCAAGAGTTGTTGGTTGTTGAAGGTGTTGGAGTAATGTGTTTAATGTATTTTTGGGTGTTGTGATGAAGAAAATGGGTGATGGGGTGTAGGGGATGCCTTCCTGTAAGGGCTGGGAATGTCCTTCACTAGATGATCAATGAAATGGCGCGTGGGGTGGGCAAATGAGCCTAGACTTTTCTAAGACCAAACACAGGGAGCTTTTATTACTGGCTCAGAGAGATGGAAGGGGGCAGATCTCTCAGTACAATCTAGAAGGAGAGAAAACAAGAAGAAAAGGAAATAGAACTCACCTGGCTCAGAGAGATGGAAGGGGGAAGATCTCTGCAGATCCAGGAAGGGGAACTGGAAGATGAAGACTAAAGAGGAAGTGTGACATGTTAGTGAGAGGTTTGTGAACCCAGGAGGGGGGGGGTTACACTTCCAAAGCCACTGTAGGTTTTGGTTTCTAGCTGGCCGCAAGTGGAGGGGTGATTAATCAAGGGTCTTGTAGCAGGTCTTCTGGGCCTCAAATTTTTCTTGTAGACTATTAAATCTGGACAAAGGTTTCCCAGTTGCAGGTCTTCTGGAGATTATCTTAGAGAGAGATAAGCTGGTTGATGATATTGTTTGGGTTTTTTTGATTCAGGGGTATTGGACTTTTACTGTTAAATTCCTTAGAAATTCAAACCCAGAACTTAAGAATAAAAGGATTAGAGAAAAGAAAAAATAAATGAACAAAGATAGTTTTAAAGAAAATGAACAGAAATCATACACTGGTTGGTATGAAAATTGGCATACAGATAACTGAGATACAAAGTAAATAGAGTAAAACAGAACAAAAGGAAGAAATTATTGAGACATAATAAATCAGATCAGTAATTCTATAAAAATAAATAAAATATAAGTAAATCATTTCAGGTTCATTCCTCTCCAAGTTGAAGACTTGAGATTTGATCCAAGTGACAAGTAGATGCAAGGGTGAGTTTGATACAAGAGAAGATATCAGAGTTATTGTTCTAAAAGAGATGAGCTGTGATAGATAGGTGTAGGAGACAGAAGAGAGGGAATGGGAATGGAAGTAGGATGTACAAGTGGTGAGTGAACTGTCAGAAGATGGGATGTCAAGTAATGGTACAGAGTTGACAGAAAAGGACAGGTGGTACCAACAGTGAGACAATATGGTATCTGCCATGTATCAGCCATGTATCACTCCATGTATTGGAACCCCAATGAAAAAAACTGGAGGACTTCCTGTTGTCTAAATTTGTAAATTTAGAAGGAAGGGCCAAAGCTTATTTTCAGGTGAAAATCATTTGACCTCGAGATTTCACCAGCAAACAAAGTTTAGCCAGTCCCTATAAATCAAGCCATCTGGGCGACGGGAAGTCCTCCATTATCTGACCAATGAACTTTTATTTGCAAGGAGGTGCAACACATTTGTTTTTTTAGCCATGCAGCTTAGTGCAATTCTCCATGATACACACAGTGTATTGGATGACTTCCTGTTGCAGTTCACAACCCTCACAGAATTTAATTTACATCCCCTAGATCTTAATTTTTGGTACAAAAAATTACTTTTTCACAAGCCTTGTGAAGATAGCTTTCATGTGAGCTGGTTGGAATTATGATGGAGGTGTTGATTTAGGACTGGGGAGGGCTTAAAAAGCACTCTAAATGGCGACGGGAAGTCATCCATTCTATTGGTTACATTGTTGGTGGTACACATTGGTGAGATTAAGCCTAAAACTAGGTTTTGTGTAGAGATGGTCTCTGGATATCCGCTATCTGCTGGCGGATATCCGCCAGAGTCAACGGTGTAGGACTCCTGGGACGGATAGACACGGTAAAGTATATGTATATCAAAAGATCCCTTGAGGGGGAAATAAATTGCAAATAGGTTGAAAGGCTATTACAACTTACGGGTGGTTTGAAAGACCTGCCCCTCTAATTGTACTAAACAAATAACTAAGAGTCTTGTAATCAATATTTAATAATATGTGGCTGATTCCAAGATAGATCTTACTTTTGTAAAGTAATCTCTATCAGACCTAGATCACGTATCAATCTACTAATGAATCTGTTACAACTTCAGGTTAATAATGGAAACTGTGGCGCTTATGGTTAAGCGCAAGACAGCTGAATTTGTTATTTAGAGTTTGTTAATGATCTCTTCCTCGAACAATTTCTTGCTAAGGCACTTTAATCACAACTAGAGCTCCGGTGTTACTACTACTACTACTTGTTATTTGTTATTTGTTAATAATACTACTTAAGTTCACTTTGTTATAGTTCAATGGTTCTGGTTCTACTACTTATAAATCTCTGACTTTACTTAACTAATTCTGACAATCACACTACTGACTAACTAATTGTGACCAACTTACTCCTGTAGGTTGATGGGGGGAAAAGAGAATCCTGGTGGAGAGAGGCCCTCCTTTTATATTGAAGAGTGAGGGATTTCTGCTGCAGGGGACTCCTTC